CATTCAGCTAGGTCTCCCCCATCGTATATCTGTGCTTTTTGTATTTCCCGATGAGAAATCTGTACCAAGGACAATAGGCCACTGCCAGGACTGAATTTGGATAAACAGAATGGTCCCCAATAGGCAAAGGAGTCAGGCAAGGCTGCATTCTATCACCCTACTTATATGCTGAAACATCATAAGAAAAGCAGACCTAGAATCAGAAGAAAGAGGACTGAAGATAGGAGGGAGGAATATCAACAACTGAAGGTACACAGATGATACCATAATAATAGCAGAAAGCATCACAGACTTGGAAAGCTTCCTACTAAGGAAGGTTAAAGAGGAAAGTGCAAAGGAAGGATTAATGCTGAACATAAAGGAAACAAAAATTATGACCACAAAAGAGATACATAAATTCAAGCTAGACATCGAGGAAATTGAAATAGATAAAGAATTCCCGTACCTAGGATCAAATATTGATCGGGGTGATGACTGCAGTCAAGAAATCAAAAGAAAATTAGGAATGAGAAGGGCAGCTATGGAAGAACTAGAAGGGCTCCTGAAGAGTAAAGATATACAATTGAGCACAAAAGTTAGAATTGTCCAAGCCATTGTATTCCCCGTCACCATGTACGGATGTGAGAGCTGGATAGTAAAGAAAGTAGGCAGAAGGAAAATCAACTCATTTGAGATGCGGTGCTGGAGAAGAGTGTTTAAGATACAGTGGACAGTCAGAAAGACAAACAGAAGCGTTTGGGAACAGATCAAGCCAGAGATCTCATTGGAAGCCAAGAGGACTAAACTGAGGCGGACGTATTTTGGCCACATCATGAGAAGACATTGGTCATTGGAAAAAACAATAATGTTAGGAAAGGGAGAAGGGAGAAGAAGGAGGGAAGCCCACATGCCAGATGGATGGACTCAATCAGCGGAGTTATGGGCTTGGGCTTGCAAGAACGGAGTAGAGAAATGGAGGAAAGGAGTTCTTGAAGGTGTCTCACCCACAAAGTTGCCATGAGTCACGCTCCACCCAAGGGCAAATAACAACAGCTCTAGAAAGGCCAGGTTGGCCTTGTCCTTTCCACTGTCAATTTAAAACAGTATTGTGCCAACTGGCTTTTTGAAAATGGAATAGGCTTTTAAAGGTGTGCAGTTGGTGTGCTGTTTTTGGTTTGTGTATAGTGTTGTTTTTTTTAATTTATTCTGAATGTTTTTAATTTGTTTTTAAAATAAATTTTATATCTATGCTTTTGTTGAAATTTTTTGTATCATTTTGAATTGGATTTAAAATATATTGTATGCCATCTTGAGTCCCATTATTGGGAGACAGGTGGGATATAATGAATACTGTAGTAATAGTAGTAATGATTATTTTAAAAGATGAAGAATCAAAGGTTCCCAGCATTAGCTTCAGGGGCTAACATAAGTTTGCCTGTAAAAGGACTGCCCAAAATCCCAACTCCCAAAAGCTCAGGGAATCCTTGAAGGAGTCCAAATGCAAAGTCTCTCCAAATGTATTCTGATCTTGACTCACCTCCATTGAGAGGAAATAGAATTGTTCCTAGACCAACTGGGAGAGCCTGAAGCTTTGCTAGTGCTCTGGATGTATGCAAAAAGAAGGACATTCAAGAAAAATGTAGAATCATAGATCTGGAAGAGAACCCAAGGGCCATCCAGTCCAACCCCATTCTGCCATGCAGGAACTCAAAATCAAAGCATCCCCGACAGATGGCCATCCAGCCTCCGTTTAAAGACCTCCAAAGAAGGAGACACTAATCTCCGAGGGAGTGTGTTCCACTGACCAAATAAAAGCTTTAAAAATTCATATAAACATAAATTCAGATGTTTTTTAGCCATGCTCAAAATGGAGAACATTTTGGAATTCTTCCTGAACAGAAGTTTGAAATAGAGGACATTCCCCCTGGCAAAGGAGGATGTCTGATCACCCTAATAACACTTGGGTTCCCATACCCTTATCAATTTGTTTGTTCGTGAAGAACAAGACCCTGCCAAGGAATAGGCAAAGTCAAGGCATCCCATACCAGTCAGTCAAGGAAAGGGCTCACCAGACCTGCAATCCCTCCTAAAACCTTATCCAGGGAATACAACATCTGAAAAAGGGAGCAGCACTTCCGCAGTCGGGTTGGGAAGTTGGGTCTCCTGCACAGAAGCACCCACATCTCACAAATTCACTGCGAAATCAGTGAGGCTCCTTTTCTCGAAGGCATTTATCCAAGACTGATCTGGGATGCAGAAGAGGGGAGGTCCATGACTAAAAAGGCCCCAAACCTCCCTGAAACTTTGCACCCATTCTTCTCTGAGGACCCCTGAAATCCTAAGAGCAGAGAGATAACACACATTTGGAAACCATAAAGCCCTATGAAGAGAGACTTAGGGAGCTGGGTATGTTTAGCCTGGGGAAGAGAAGGTTAAGAAGTGACATGGTAGCTTGTTTAAATATTTGAAGATGGAGCAAGCTTGTTTTCTGCTGCTCCAGAGAATAGGAATCCAAACTACAGGAAAAGAGATTCTACCTTAACATTAGGAAGATAGCAAGAGCTGCTTGACAGTGGAAGATGATCCCTTGGTGAAGTCGCCTTCTTTGGAGGTTTTCAAACAGTCTGGAAAGCCATCTATCACAGGCAGTGCTTTGATTGTATATTCCTGCATGTCAGGGGGTTGGACTGGATGG